TTCAGATTTAATAATATAATTTTTATAAAAATAATAATTAAATATTCTGTTAGAATTTAATGATTATTCTAATTATATTTTAGATTTTTTAATTTTAAAATGAAATATTTATCTTGTATTTGATTATGTTAATCTGCAGTTAGTTACAAAAATTTAAAAATAAAACTTTAATAAGTTGTATTTAAGCACAATCTACTCGTAATCTTGAATTTCAAGTGATATGTGTCAATAAACAGTATTTTATACATAAAAAATAGTTTTTAAGAATTTTTATCAAATATTTATAATATAGTATAGATTATTTAATTTTTACGAAGGGGACATTTACAAAAAGATAAAAATGAAAAAGGTCGGTCCAAGATTTGCACAGGTTGTCAAGTAGTGGACCGGAATTTGAATTAAATATATTGCCCCACCCCAGGTCACAAAATCTTTGACCATTCCCATTCTAAATTTACAATTCTGCCCTTTGCTCCTCATTCATAATAAAATGTTCATATTACACAATTTAATAAAATGAGTAAACTACAGTGTTGTTTATACAAATTTTTTAAAGTGATCCGTAAACTTCAATAATTATAATTATCATCCTGCTATTTACATTTTGTTTTGAAAATAGTCATTCGACTTAACTCTGTTAAGTTTTTTTCCTTTTAAGTTAAGGATATTTTCGTCTTTTAACTTTTAGAAGACCATGTTATACATTTTTGTTTAAACCCAAAGACCAAATTGTAATTTACTCTAATTTAATTTATATTTTGTGTGTGTGTATATATATGTGCACGAACACACATACATCCGGTGAACATCTCACACTGTCACTGATGGTCTTGTCCGATGACCAAACTCAATACCACCCTTCCATTCCCAAATGACGCCCACCCCCACCCCTTATTGTTCCCTTTGACACTTCCCAGTACCATTGCCGCTACAACACCACCGAGGATAACCCCGAGCACCTCTCTCTTCTACGTATATGTATGTGTATCTATGAAGTGAATGTGTATGTGTGATCTATGTATGTGTATGTGTGAATTTGTGTGTGTATGAGATCTACGAATGAGATATGTGGGAGATCTAATTATCAAAACAACAACGATGGTTGCAAGTTGGAGTTGCAGGTGTAGTTGGTGGGGGAGGGAGATGAACGTTGGAGATAGGGGAGGGAGATGAACGTCGAAGATGGGGAAGGAAGGATAAAGATGGAGATGAGTTAGGAGATGGGGGAGGGTTGCTAGAGATGAACACCAGCAGCGGGGGAGGAGATTCACGGTGTAGTGTGTTTGTTTTTTATGTTGAAAAAAAAATATTCCAATAAAAATAAATGAAAACAAAATAAAGATTTAATCTTTATAAAACTTTAATTATATAACGGACAAAAACTTAAGCCTTTTAGTATTCAGACCCACCAACACCTCAAAAGTGTCAATTCACACAGATTGAGTCTATCCTTCACGATAGATTCAATGAAATAAAGGGGTAGAAGCAGAGTTGTTCACTTAGATTCAATGAAATAAAGGGTAGAAGCAGAGTTGTTCACTTAGTGAACAAGAAATTAAATACAATGCAAGAAATATAAAACCAACCTGTTTAATTTTATGTCGATTTGGATGATAATATGCACGGTAAAACCTGTCCTTTAAGGTTTTATACGACCACTCTATTTACGCTGTGAGTCTGCTAGTCACAAAACCCCAGGATTTGATGCAATATTCGATTCGTTTATGAACAGCGATCAAAAACGAATATAGAGCACCGTGTATGTAGAAAACGATAGAGAGAAAGTAATACTCGGGAGCAGAAATCGAAGGAGAGGAAGCTTAGAACTTTCTGTGTATTTCGAACTGGCTTCAACCCAGTTTATATGGCGAGGCTCCTTCTGCTCCGATGCGAAGTGCAAAGTACGCCTCCTCGCGCCACCTTCGCGAATCCCGCGCCCGTGGCCTCGGCCATGGCCACGCACGCGTGTGTTGGGCCTTCCACTCAAGACCCCCACCATGAGTCCACCAACTTGTTCAAATCTCATTTCTAGAGAAAGCCTTATAAGCTTCTCTATAAATTAATTTTCTACCAATGTGGATGGAAGGTAAACTTCCAACCTACAAATTTCCTACATTTTATATATGTATAATGTGATCCTCCTGTTCATCCTTATGCCAAAAACTCGATTTTCGTGATGCAGTTGTGATACCGATCTGGTTCCTAGCCATCATCATCATCGTCTCGTTTTTCCGACCGATCAATTCGGCCTTTTGGAATTCATTTAGCGAGAGAGAGGGGGGGAACCGAAGAAAAGAGATGGGATATGTGATGTATGAGACGAAGATGGAAGGCCAGAGGGGAGATGGGGTTGCCGGAGATGTACATTGACAGTGGGGGAGGGCAGACGGTGGGCGGTAGGGACTATGTCACTGTGTGTGTGTTACAAAAATATTTATTGATTTCTAAAATTAAAATAAAAGAAATACATGAAAAGACTAAAATGCCCTTATTTTAACAATTTTTTTAAAACAAAGTTAGTGAAAGGAACCAATTTCAAAGCAAAATGTAAACAATGGAGACGATAATTGTAGTTATTGAAGTCTACGGATCACTTTTAGAGATTCGTGTAAACCACATGGACAAAAATTGTAGTTTGCTCTAATAAAAATATATTTTATTATTAAGAGTAAAGTAAACTACAGAGTTGGTCCTTATTGCTTTGTCAAAATTAACAATTTTCATCCTCTATTTTTGAAATTACAAGATGATCGTTATAGTTTGTAAAAATGTTTGGATTTGGTCCCTCTAACCCCCACTAAAAAATTTCGTTAAATGAAATATATTTTCGTTTTTTTATCGATTTGTCTCTTATCCAAT